AGAAGACATTTTTGTTTAGTCATTTTTATGTTGCAGCACATAAAAAGACATCCAAAATATAAATAGCCCCGGCCCCGAAAAGTCTAACAAGATTCTAATAAAACTAACACAAGTTTTAGTTTTATCTAAGGTAAATTATTTTATAAATAAAAAAGTTAATTTTTTTAATAACTATTTTATGCTTCGTGTAGTTTGTAAAGTTTAACATATTTGAAACAATTCTTCTTAGAAAGATGAACAAATAAAATAATTCAATCATTGAATTACTATATAAATTAATTTAACTAGATAGAAATCAACTAAAAAGGTTAAAAATTTAACTTTATGACAAGGAAGCAAAACTGCTTCACAATACCGCTGACGATGTTTAGTGAGTGGGCTTTTTAATTTTAATTAGTATTTAAAGCAGAAAAAAGTATAACGAGTTTTTAAGAATGGCAACTGAAGCAAAAAGTAAATCATAAAAATTGCTTTAAAACATTACATTACAATAAAAAACAGATTACATTTACATAAAAAATATATACTTTAAAATAAAAAATAAGAATATGCTAATAAAATCTATAATTTAAATATATAATAATAAAAAATATATATTATAAAACAAATTTTTTTTTGTAAATAAATAATAATAGCTTGAAAGATTTACTGCTTTGCAGATGCGGCTCTGAGAATGAACTATAGTATTAAAGTTCGTTTGATAATATATTCTTAAAACAATTTATGCTAGAAATCTCAAAATGTAACAAATCGTGAATAATACAATTTCTTAAACATTTTAACAGAATACTCTAATATTTCGCTTAGTCAGCATATTTTTTGAAAGAATAGAATTGGTTTGTTCGTAGATTTGGCAGGTATTTAGTGTTCGCGAATATTCTTTTTATTCTTCAGCACCAAGATGTTTTGAGAACATTCAAGTTAATTATGTTTCCATGTATGTCTGAAAACAAAAATTTTTTGTTACATACATAAAGTAAAATGTTCTTAAAACAATTAAACAACCTGGCCAGTTTTTTGCAACTAAATATTATTTCCATGGTCAGTATTTGAGAGCAATCGCTCCCGCTTCTTGACCAAGCCTGCAGTTAGAGATGCATTTGGTCTAACATTCCATACACCTTTTGCCAGATTACATTTTAAGACTTTTTCTACAACTTCCTGCATTATTTCAATAACATACTTATTAATAATTGGTTCATCCCAATCTACTTCATTTTTACATCTTTTTATATAACTGCATGCCAGTCTTATTAGCAACATGATTACCTCACAATGACAACCCTCGAAATTAGGGTCGGCATTCGGCAATGCTGACCTAACTGGCAACCTAAAAGTGTTTGAGGTCGGCAAAAAATTGCTGACCTTGTTTCTATGTGTTATGGTCAGACCTTTGTATCGAATAATTTTTTCCGACCTTAAAAAGATTGAGGTCGGCAAATTATTGCTGACCTCATTTTTCCTAATTCTGAGGGTTGCAATGAGAATATTTCCCTCTTGATGAGCACAGTTTTAATAGTAGAAATCTTGCATCCTTTCTTCAAAAACATTTCCTTTGTTATTGGATTACTGTAACTTCCAATCCTAACGCATAAACTGGATTTTCACCAAAATATTCAGGTGTTTTTGTGTGAAGACCCCATATTTTCACATGTATCACCAGCTTTCTTCCATTTCCGTTGGTTGCTAGGGTGTCATTACTGTATCCTCTTGTTAATTTTGCAAGTGCAGAACCTTGTTGAGGAACATATTGCAGTATTGAGCTCATCATCACTGCTGCTAAATTCAAACCAAAGCTTAAACATTTAAGCCTATACTTCTGATTTTTATAAAGGAAAGTTTGGTAAGGCCTATGCCTTTTATCCACATCAATTTGTAGGTATGCTTGTTTGAGGTCCACCACTGAGTCATTGCTATTTTTACTCATGAGTCTCCAATAACTAATTGCATCATTTATGACTTCTGCATCCCTTGTGGAGGCTTTTAAATACATATTAAGCTTGCAATAATCAAGCACAGATCTTATCTTCTGTTTATTATCTTGAATGACCCACATTAGTGTAATAGACCTTTAGCTTTTCTTATAATTTCATTGTCATATTTGAGTGTCTTCTTTGATCCATTCATTTATTTCGTTGTTGAAAGCCTTACAATGTTGGTCAGGTATGTTATACTGACTTGTTCTGCTTTTGATGTTAAGCTCATTTTCCCATTTTCAACTTACAATCCATTTTTCACCATCAAAATAAGCTTTGCTTGTTCCAATTTCAATTATTGCAACACAAGGTGTCAATGACAACTTAATCAAAGAATTACATAAATTCAATTTTCCAGTGCAAATTTTTAGTCCATTCTGCATCTTTATTAAATTAAATGCATACCCATAATCATGTCGTATTTGTTTACAACTTCATTCACACTTAAAAAATGGCATCCACCAAGCACCCATTTGTTAGGTGGTGTATTTTAACACTAACTTCTTCACATATTCTGTCCATTGTTTCTACAATAAGCAAAATCTACTATACAAATCACATTAAATTCGAACAACAGTAACTTTTTAATGATGATTGATTGTGAGTAACCAGTATCCAGAAGCACTGCAGTTTTTCTTCTGTTTATTAACAAGTTGATATTACATAGTATTGTTTCAAAACAAGTTCTCGTGTTCAAATACCTAATGTGAACTTGTCTTGTTTAAGTTTTCCTGGTTTCGTTGACGTTTGTAGCAGTTTTTCGCAGCATGTTTATGCAAGTATTTCTTACATAAAGAGGTACATTAAAGTGCAAAGTGATTCAATGATTCACAGTTGGAGCATTGCTTTTCTTTTCTTTTTTTTTGTGTATGACTTGTCATTTTATTTCCAGTTGTCCAGTAACTTGCATTTATTTCTTTATTAACAAATTTCCAGCATTTATTTCTTTATTAACAAATAAACATCATCTAATCTAGTTAGTGCAACCATGGATGCAGTCTTAACACAGTTGTCAAAGCTTAACACGTCTTTTCCCCAAAGAATGCTATGCAGAATAGCTCTATCATTAATTCCAATAATGAATTGGTCACAAAGTTGGCCATCTCTCTCTGAAGGCAAGAACTTAAGCAATCTTAAGTTGCTCAAATCTATTGATATTGCTATAGATTCTTCATTGCTGAGATAAGTTTTAACAAATTCATACTGTGAGATTAACAATGATTTTCTAATTTCCAGTATTTCCAGTTTTGTCACTTATTCTTGGTACAAAGCGTCTTCTGTTAAATGTCAAAAATTCTTCTGGAGTTTCTGGTGCTGTTAATTCTTTCACAGTCTTTGCAGAGCAGCGACCAAGTAGCTTATGTGTTTGTCTAAAGTTATATTGTTTATTATAAGAAAGATGTCATCTGTGGAATAAATCGCTTTAGCTGTCCATATTCATAATGAGCAAAGCTAATTAATAACACAAATGGAAATCATAACAAAAAGTTTATTTGCAATACTGTGTATAAATGAAGTTTTTTGAAGATTTTGTTAAAATAATTACAATAAAGGTTATAGAAAATAGTTTAAATATTAAATACTTACTTTGAATAAATAGTTACTGTTGTAACTATAGTTACTGTTAAAACTAATATTTTTTCACATTATTTCAACCCTCGGAATTAGGTCAGGATTTGGCAATGCCAACCTTACTGTAGACCTAAAAGTGTTTGAGGTTGATAAAAAATTGCAGACCTCATATTTTATATTTTATGGTATGATCTGTGTTTCAAATATTTTTGCTGACCTGATGCGGACCTTTAAAAGATTGAGGTCATCAAATTATTGCCAACCTCATTTTTTCTAATTCCAAGGGTTGCATATTCTGATTGATGGGCAAATAACTTTTTTCATTTTAGTTGTCCTTTGAGAAAACTTTTTGTCCCATATCAATATAGTTTTTGATCTTTTTGTTCTACTGCTAATTTGTAATATATGATTGGTCTATCATGCATTAGATAAAAAGGGTCTGTTGCTCTTGCCATATTAAAGGCTGTTAACAAAGTCTGGCATTCTATTTTTATTCACAGGCTATCTACTTTTATTTTATTTGGAAAAATTTTCAAAAGATCAAATATTTCCTCTAATCACACACTTTAAAGTTGTTCTTTATGGAAAACATTCTTCTAACCAGTATCCTCAAGGGTAAAGCATGGTTTGAGTCCCATATTTTTTTATTTTCAGTTTTACCATAGGTCCAGAGTAGGCTGCAGTCAAAGAGGCTATTGGGTTTTTATTTTTTAAATTATATTTTACTTTTTTTGTAAAATTTGCAATTTAGGGTTGAGAGAGAGAGTCACAAATTTCTAGGGTAGATTCCAGATCTCCAGGTAGATTTAAACCTCTGCCTCTTGATTGAATAATTATTAGTTTTAAATTTAATCCATTAATCTACTACTGCATTGAACTACATTAATATACTATATCTAACTACATTAATATACTATATATAGTACTTATCTACATTTATGATCTTTTTGATAATTTTATGACCAAAGTGGCTGATTTTGTTAATTTTTTATTTTTATTTTAATTGTAATAACCTCCTCTTTGCTCATGCAGTGGGATTGGCTATATATTATAAATAATATATTCTTATTTTAACCTTCAATTCAGAAACACAAAGTTTGGTAGACAAAGAAATTGCGTAGAAAAACAAGTTGATTATTTTTTTTTGATAGATGTGGTGGGTTTAAACTCCAAAATTTTAAGGATATTCCGATTTAAAAATAATTTCAAGGATACTCCAGTTAGAAATCAATTTTAAGGATATTACAGTTGAAAATTATTTCTGAGTATATTCCAGTTAAAAAATAAATTGATAAAACTTTTTTTTAAGTTTAATAGTTTGTTTAAAACAAAGATGAGTTTAGATTAAAATCTAATACAGTATTTTAAATAAGATTAAAATAAATGGTCTGGTTAGTTCAATTATTATTATTATTATTTTTTTAAAATTTATTTTTTTGAAATTTCATTTAGGTTTCTATTCTACTGCTAAGATTGATTAAAGAAAATTTATTATTTAAAATGACAGAATACCTTCAGATACTTTCTCCAATGTATAGTAAAAAGTGAGGTGATTTTATTATGGCTTTATATTAAAATAATTTATAAAATAATATTCAATAATTTCAACTCGAAATAGTTTTGGTTCTTACAGCTTAAGGCTTTTTTTTTTTTTTATTATCTTTTAAATTGAGGCTTATTACCACTAAATCCTTATAAAAATAAAATTTCTATGTGTTGATAAAAGAAAAATTCTAAAGGTTTCACACAATTATTTGAATCACATGGTAAACAATTCTTTAAAACATTTGATTCACTAACATTTTTAAATTGTGTCAAAACTTTTTTTTTTTTTTTACAATTTTGTCTTAAATATCAAAAATCTCTTCTATTGTAGTGTCCTCTTAACTTTAGGGAGGTAAAAAAAGTATCAATCTTAGGGAGGTAAAAAAAAATGTATTCTCTCTTATAAACTATTTTCTTAAGTATTAGAAAATAGTTTGTAACAGAGGTAAAAAGTAATAAATTACATTTACTCATATTTCTGTAATTGAGAAGATTTTTTGTGTATTTATACTTATTAAGTATTTTTTTTTAATGTGTACTTTTGCTTTTACTTAAATATTTTTTTAAAAGCATTGTATTTCTCTACATCTTAAATTAAAAATGTTACTGCATATAAGAGTTCATTACGTATTAGTATTGTTTAATTTTACAAAAATTGTGATTTAGTTTTTAGCTGAGATTCTAGGCAAATATTTTGTATTTGGTATTCAGCAAAATTTCGTCACATCTCTAGTTATAATAGTTAGTAAGTGACCGAAGTTGATATTTGGCCGGGGCTGGGTTTGATAAAATATAGCTGGGGCCGGGTTTGTAACATAAACATTTTTACATGCTAAAGTTTTTTATTTAATTCAAAATTCATGTTATTTTTTGTATTTATATGTATATATAAGCATCATCATGATCAACATAATCATCATAATCATCATCATCATGATAATCAACAGCATAAAAAAGGAAGACTAAAGCCTGATGATAATGATGATGATGATCATCATCATGATCCTCATGATGATGATGATGATGCTCATGATGATGATCATCATCTTCATTGTCATTGTCAGGCTTTAGCCATCCTCTTTTATGCTGTTTCTTTAATATAAACAATCTAGAGCATTTTTTTTCGTAACTAAAGCTCATTCATGCAATATGTAAGGCACTCTCTTCAAATTTTCTTCCTTCTACCAATGCCATTTTCTACAGAAGCTACTACCTCTCTACCTACTATATGTTGATACCTAAATTACTTTCATCTTTTCTAACAAACGTTCGTTTTTTTAAATCTGGATAAGATTATACCTCCTTTTCTACATCCATCAGATCATCTTCTCTTTCAGCAAATATTTTCGGCAAATACCAAAGTTTATACAACAATGAAAGGGTATTGTATGCCAGCATCTAAATAAATAGCAAACAGATATGTTTATATCCATAATATATATGCCTAAAGTGCATCTTGGAGGCTTTTATTCCTTCTGGAATAAAAGTTTAGAAGCTTTTATTACTTCTCTTAAATTTTAAGTCAAGCCTCATTCTACTCCATATTATTCAACATTAATCATTTTTTTAATTTTTTTAGAACATCTTTCTTAAGAACAAGCGTCCTTTTATTATTGCAAGAAGCCAATGTAAAAAAGTCCTGTTTAATGTTAAGCTTTGTTATACTCAGTTAATGTTAAGCTTTGTTATACTCAGTTAACTAAATTTTGTATCTTATCTCAGATGTTAGGTTCTAGAGTACTTCTCCCCAGAATAAAACAGAATTATTTGCAAAGAAATCTTACTCTAAGTTGACTCTTGAATATAATGGCCATACTTTTCCTGACATTTAAACAGATTAACCTATCGTTAAACATCGAAATCACTCTGGCTTCCAATAGTAAAGTTAATTCTCAATCAAACACTTCTACAGTTTGTGCTCCAGAATAGATTTCCATCATAGTCTTGAAAAAATGTTTTCCAAAACTCTTTTTAATTTTTGCTAAACTTTTAAAAAGTGTTAAATAAGTGGTTCCAATATTTTATAATAAACTCTAGAAAACACTTTAACCTCTCCAACTATCCTACGATTAGTCTTCACTCTGTTATTTGTTTCTAATTTCTTAGTTGACTAATTTTGACTTTCCACTAGTTGACTTTTAGTTGAAGTCTATAACAACACTATGCAAAATATAATGATAAATTTTCCAATTCCATATGTTTATTTTCAAATTTTGCAAGAAAGAAAAAAAAACATGCTTAAACAAATAAAATGTTTATTAAAAAATTCAGCAATGACTTCTAAGGGTGAAATGAAACATTCCTTTTTATGATGTTTGTAAATTAAATATTTCATTGTAATGTGTTCTTTTTAAATTTTTTTTTTTTTTTTATTTTCCATGTTTTTACTATTAAATTTATAAATTTGTCAGGGATGGCCTAAAGTTTTGCATGAGGATGGCAAGAAGGCTAAAGCCGGCACTGAAATAATTACATCTCAAAATTTTAAAACTAAATTTGTTTTCTATTTAAAATAAATTTAAAGCAGCAAACTTGTATTTAAATTTTAAATAAAATAATTAAAAGAAAAAAGAAAAAATGAATTTTTGCAAAATTTTAGTATTGTTCAAAATGAAGCAGTAGGTTCATCAGGAAGGAATGCTTCCTGATGAACCTAATTTTGATAAAAATTTTGATGAAAATTCTGATATGTCAATTCAAACACAAAAAGCTTTTACTCGTCCCAATATTTCAAAACATTCTACTATGGGCACTATTCAACTCTCAATTACAATATCCAAACGTTGTATTCTTGACAATCAACTCTTTCATGCAGCATTAGACTGAACAAAAATAACACTATGACAAGTAATGATGGTTGGTCACACCAGCCTAGCTGCAATTGGTATTGATGTAAATAAATTAACATTTTGAAGTTCCACTCTAATGGAAGCTTGAACTACATCCTGTGAATCTCTTGCAATAACAGTGAAAAAAATTTTCAATCCTTGGTTCCACTAGTTGCTCATTTTGATGGTAAAATGTTGTCGAATATTGGTAGAACCAACATTCAACAATTAGTGAATGTCTGCCAATTGTTGTATCAATTGTACCAATTGTATTGTAACAATTTAATCTATTCAAATATGCATTTATATACATATATACATATGATATGAACTAAATATATAGTTAAATACATTATAATAATAACATTAATATATGGGTATTGTTTTTCTGTTATATTTTAATTTAGTCACATGTCAAGGTTTGATTAAATTATGTATGTTATTTCATCCAAAAAATTTTAAAATTTGTTATTTGTAATATAAGAAAACTTTTAGTTCTTTTAAAAGTTTCATTTGAGTACAATATTTTTTGTCATTTTTAAATTTATATTCCCCTTGCCCCAAGTTACCCCGGCTACATACATTCATACACTTGTCGTCACCCTAATAAATAAAACTGATGCATGAAACATTGGCGATTGTTTTAATACATTACAGAAATTTATAATTTTTAAAAAAAAACTGGTCTCAAAAGGGCTTAAGAAACAGGTCCAGGTCCTGGCATCCTGTAGGTGGGGTGTGGGAATATGTCACTGCTATATACATTTGTTTTATTGTTATCACCCTAATAAGTAAAACTGATGCATGTAACACTGGCACAAGCTAATTTTAATAGATTTCAGAAATATCAAACATATATTATTTTAGACAAAAATGTCTCAAAATAGCTTAAAAAACAGGTCCGGGACCTATCATTTCTAGAGTAGAGTCTGGGAATAGGTCATTGCTATATACATTCTTATAATTTTTATAACCCTAATAAGTAAAACTGATGCGTGTAACACTGAGACTAACTGATTTTAATATATTTTAGAAATATGTTATTTTAGACAAAAACGGGGTTCTAAAGGGGTTACAAAATAGGTGTGGGGACCACTTCACATCATCAAAAAAAATTTATCTGTGAACTTATTTTATTTAACCTCACCAAATAAGAGATGTTTTAATATCAAATTTAAAAAAAAAAAAAAAAAACGCTCTTATATATATACACCTATAGTATCACTTACGGGGACAGATTTTACAAAAAAACAAATACTTACAAGGACATTTGCATTATCGGGGACATTTTTGTGTACCCAATAATTTTTGGTCCCCATAAGCATCATTTTTTTGTAAAAAAAAATGTCCTTGAACCCACTATTATAGAGAGCATAAAGTATATACATTGACTATCAAATAGCCTGACTTGCAATGGAGTATTGCTACATCGACTGAGAGTTTGGTTAGGGTCAGCATCACGTTCAGGCTTAGGATTAGTGTTACAGCAAGGTTTAAATATGGTTATATTACTGTAATTAATCGTTTCTGTAAATAGATGATAGAAAAAAATGAAATATAATATATAATAAATAAATAAAAATAAATATTAAAAATATATTTTTATAATAAAATAATAAATTTAAATATGTATAAATAAAAATAGAAATAAAATAAAAGTTGAAAAATATGATAAAAATAGTAAAAAAAAAGTAAAAGTTTTTAATAAACATAGAAAGTATTTGTATGGAAATATTGTGAAAGGATGGGAGTTTTGAATTTTGTTAGAACCCAAAACCATAATAGTAAGAACCATTTTTAATTTTAGGGAAAAATCATTTGATAAAGAGGTATTAATTCCTTCAAAAGAATATACAGCATACATATTTGAGAGGATATTGGGATGCTCCAAGCTAAGTGTTCAGGTAAATAGTTAAAAGTTATGTAAAAGTTTACATTAGGTTTTTATTTGATTTTCATATAAATAATTTTTTTAGATACTTATTTGCTGTCAAAAAGCTTTTCTGTATCCTTTCTATATCAAACATATTCAGGACTAAATAATTTTACTAAACAATATTTCAATGAATGATATTAATGAAAATAATATGAGTTATAGAAAAAAGAAATTTGTGTTTATGCTGTTAAAGCATATGGTGGATGGTGCAATCCAGGTGCCACACACTATCATATTGTAAGTTATAAATCTTATATATATATAAATTTTTTTTTTAAATATCTTATTGAGTCGTTAAGCTAAAAAAAGAATGAAATGACTTAAGTTAGTCTACAGAATGAAATGACTTAAACTAGTCTACAGAATGATTCAAAAGTAAAAATTTAAAAGATAAGATTAAGATAAAATAATTATTAAATATAGAAAATACGAAGTGTTGGATTTTTCTTTGACATTATTTTCAGGTTGTTAGATTCTCATATAAGACATGGTTTTTTTGTGTCTTTTAATCTTTTTGGCATTGCTTCTGTAAGTAGAATATGGTAAGAGATTATAAAAGTCATTTGTCTTTATATTATCTCTGCTTTGCTTAAAACTATGTATTTTTGTTTTATAAAAAAAATTTATTTCCTTTATATTTAGGACTATTTGTCTTGATTATATCAATAATTTAAAGTTGGTTTTTAACACATTAAAAGGAATACTCAGAGAGTTGTTTAATTTCAAAGTAAATATTTTTTATCAAAAAATAACTCAATGATAATTGTCTCAAACTTTTTCATATTTTAAAGGAAAACTAAAATCAATTTTTAGGTGCATTATACAACTTTAGATCAATGGTTAAATGTAGATTTTATTGGTGTTGCTCTGCCTACTCGTTCCAAGTAAAGATTTTTTTATGTATATAAAATTTTTTAAAGATTCTTTTAAGCACCTTTTGTGTAATAAATACTTATCATAAAAAATAATTATGCATAACATATTTTATATCTTTATTTTTATTTTCATTTGAAGTAAAAATACATTGACTAAATTAGATTAAGCCAAACAATCTTTTTATTATTATATTAAAAAAAGAAAGTTTTCATCTTATTCTGATCTTGCTTTTTACTGTTTGATTTAATGTGACATTTTATGTAAAAACCTCAATTATATATTAGGGGTGTTCAAAAAAAAAAAATTTTCAAAACGCGAATACACAATAAGCCAAATTTGGGGCAAACATAAAAAAAATACAATTAAAAAAAAAAAAAAATTTAAAAATATTGACATTTACCTTGTGCTCAAGCGGCAAAATACCCCGAAAATGCCCCAAATAGTTCCCAAGTAATTTGGCTTTGAGCGCTAGGTAAATCTCAATATTTTGTAATTTTTTTTTTATATTTTGCTCATAATGGTCCAAACTTTTTTTTTAGTTTGTGTGTCTCCTGTTTTTTTCATAATTATTGTTTAAATTAAAAAAAGATTTTGCCAAAAAATACTCAAAAAAAAAAGTTTTAACGCGCATTTAACAAAAGAAATAAACTTTTACTTAATGTCAAAAGCGTGAAAACACTTTAGTGCTATTTAAAATTTACTTTTGTTTGCTTTGTTTTGCTTCACTGCATTTTTATATTGCTAATTTTTCTTAAATAATAAACATTTTAAAAAGTCATAAAAAGAAAAAAACTGACGACAGTAAATAGTGTTGAATATAATCTAAAAATATTGTTCCAGTTATAATGGAAAGTTTAATAGAAAACAAGCAAGAGTCACAAAAATTGATAGTTGTAAGTGCAAATAGCAGTAAGAAACTATTAAAAAATGGTAGAGAAAAGTGAAATAAAAAAATAAAAAAAACACATTTTATTAATGAGGAAGTCAAACCTGCAATACCAGGTAATGAATTTTTTCTGAGTTCTTTTTTAGTTTTAAATATTATTTCAATTAGGTTTCACGTTGCAAAGGATCAACCTTACTGAATTTTTTAGTTTTTTTTTTAGTTGATCAACTATCAACAGGATTGGATATTTAACAGCACATAGCTTTTATTCAGTCTGTGCTTCCTAAAACATCAAAAAAATCTTTAATAATTGCTTGTTCAGTAAAAAAAAACAGGAAATATGAAAGATGTGTTGAACGACATTGTAAGTGTATTCTTAGCCAAATAAAGGGTTCGTGGCTTAAAGCTGGATTTCCTCTTCAATCAGACAACAGTTTGATTCAAAAGCTGAACAAGTTGAACAAAAAATATGTTAATTAAAAAAAAACATGTACCGGATGTCATCTTTAGAATTGAAAAAGCAACAAGACTTCAGAAAAGAACTGGGAAAAATCTTTTGGGCAGGAATACCTGACTTACAAAGCTGGATAAAAAAAGATAAAAATAGATCCGACCTAGATAAGAAAGAGGACCTAGAATTTAAATACGATCAAGAACATGACAGAAAGTTATTTCTAGGCCCAGAAGATAAGAAATAAAGGAAGAAGGTAGTTCATTTAATGACCTTTTTTTTCCTGAATTTAAAAACTTTTGTTACTTTTTCATTATTGAGCTTTATTTTTGCTTTAATACTTTTTACATTATTATCTTTTTTAATTTTACAAAATTTTGATAAAGAAATTTAAAAAGAATAATATCAAATAATAATAATAACAATAATAATAATAACAATAATATTAATAATGGTGCATGTTGTTTAGATTTTAGAGAATACAAGAAAAAGAAATTTATCCAAAATAGATGCTGCAAAATTACTGGAAGTAAGGACTTCAGAGTTGGAATTTAGTCTAACACAAGACCCGAGCGAAGATTCATCGTTTGATTCAGATTATGACCCAGGATATTGGCATTCTTCAGAGTCTAATAGCATAATAAAAGCTGAGATTCCAAAAGATATTCTTTCTGGTAATGTTGCCCTAATAGCTACAGTTACTGATATTTCTCCCAATGTTTTGACAAAAGTTACGGCTGCAATCTTTGATAATTGTAGCGTTGATCTTACAAATGTAAGTTGCAGCAGTTCGACAGCATTTAGAAAGATGAAACAAACAGCTCAAGAAATGGCAGCTATTGCTAAAGAAGATGTCATACTTAGCATCCAAGCGTCTCCCTACCCATTCATCGTTCATTTTGATGGAAAAACACTTTTCAAAACCAATAATGGAAAAAAACTTAAGAATGACAGACTAGCTGTTCTGGCAACCATCGATAAGGAGTCACATCTTCTCGGTGTTGCGCCATTAGCCTCTTCATCTGGGGAAGATCAGTACAATCTTGAATCAAAGATTGGATTACTTTGCTTTGATACAACATCAAGCAATACAGGTATACATAAAGGATCTCTAGTAAGAATATCTACTGCGCTAAATAAGTATCTAATTCTCTTAGCTTGCTGACATCATGTTTCTGAGTTGAGAATCACACACTTCTGTGAAGCTGTAACAAATAAAAAAACTACGGCGTCTGGTAATCTTCTGTTTAAACAATTCAAAAACATGTTTGAGCAGCCTAATTTCAAATATAAACCATCTTTGCTAGTTAAATTTTCTTGGGATGAAGTTAAAGGAACTGTTGTTGAAAAAGCTGCAATAGAATCTCTTGACTATTGTAGGTTTTACTTCAAGAAATGATATTGCAAGGGAAGATAGAAAAGAGCTAGCAGAGCTAGTGGTCAGCTATCTCTCTGCTTCTAACATTAAAATTAAAAAGACTGGAGCTAATCAACATGTGAGATTTTTAGGGAAATCTATATACTATTTAAAAATGCAAATTCTTTCAAATCAGATTGATTTTCTTCTAAAAAGTAAAGAACATATAAAAATAATAACAGAATTTAGAGCTTGCTTTTATGCAAAGTGGTATCTGGAATCAAATGATACAATCAAAGCTCCTTACATGGATGTTACTGCCATTCATCAAATGCATCAATATAAAACAGTATGTGCTGAACCAGATGCCGTAAATGCTGTGTTGAATTCTTTATTCAAACATACATGGATCTAGATTCAACTCTGATTCCTTTAGCTTTGCTGGATGATGATGTTACACTTGAAGAGAAGAAAAAAATTGCTGCTGTAATATTATCATATTCAAAACCAATGCCATGCTATTTTAAAACAAAAAATAAACAGAACAAAGACATAAAAAAAATGTTAACACTTGAACTAGACATTCATCAGCAACCTCCTAGCTTAGCTCCTTTGGTTGACGAATTCTCCTGGTTAATGTTTGAGATGGTTGGAATAGATAAACAGCAAATTGAGGACTGGCTGACCTTGCCACTTCAGTATTGACACACGCAATCATCGTTTAGATTATTTCTAAAATTTGGATTGATGCAACAATTATTGGAATGATGCAACAATTTGTTCACCGCTACAGAGATGAGAAAGAAAAACAAAATAGACTTATTACTGTAGACAAAGTTCGTTCAATTCTCAAGGCATCAGACAGCGAATCATTATCAACCAATAAAATAAATAAGCAAGTATTAAGCAAGAAAAGAATCACAGATGGATTACTTAACATACACTCCAAAATACAGAAAATAAATTGAAACAAGTTACAAAAAATTAAAAAAATTTGTATCATTCAATCAACTTTTATTTTATTCTCAAAAGATTAATTAAAATAAAATTAAATTTCTTTTTGAGACGTTAAACAATGTGATAAGTCATATAAATGCAGAATTATTATGCATTATTTTGTAAAAATCGCGTTAAAATTTTTTTTTGTGTATTTTTTTGCAAAATCTTTTTTTATTTAAACAACAATTATGAAAAAACCAGTATACACAACAAACTAAAAAAAAAGTTTGGACCATTATGAGCAAAATATAAAAAAAAAAATTACAAAATATTGAGATTTACCTAGCGCTCAAAGCCAAATTACTTGGGAACTATTTGGGGCATTTTTTGGGGTATTTTGCCATTTGAACACAAGGTAAATGTCAATATTTTTGAATTTTTTTTTTTTTATTGTATTTTTTTTATGTTTGCCCCAAATTTGGCTTATTGTGTATTCGCGTTTTGAAATTTTTTTTTTTGAACACCCCTATTATATATATATATATATATATATATATATATATATATATATATATATATATATATATATATATATATATATATATATATATATATATATATATATATATATATA